TCATCCCAAAGTTCTAATGCTGTCTTGAGTTCTAAACCTGAAAGGACAACATGGTGATTTGTTAAACTCAAGCATAGTCCAAGGGAAGATTCACTATTCTGAATCAAAGGCAGAAATTGGCATGATAGAAGGGGAAATTGAGGGCAGCGGAGGAAGGAAGAAAGCAGGGTTGCATAGCATAGTTTGTTGCTACATGGCAATGAAAATCAAAAGCTCTCATGAAACCAGAGGGCTGGAAAGATGTTTTCACCAGCCCGGAGGAAGGAGACCCATCCCCAGGCTCCATTTGCTCATCCAGATAGGCCTTTTGTGTGCTATTGCATTCTAGACAGTGGCCGTTTCTTCAAGGATTCTGCTTCCAAGGACTTCCTAGGAAGCTGCAATATTAATCTCTGTTATCAACTTGACTAGCTCTGACATCACCTAGGGACACTCCTTGGGCATGTCTGAGAAGTTTAACTAAGGAGGGAAGGCACACTCTGAATGCCAGCAGGTCCATCCTAGGGCCCAGGGTCCTAGACTGGATAAATGCAGGGTTTAGAAAAGAGAAATCTGACTGACCACCAGCATTCCCCTCCCTGTCTATGCTCTTGGACTACACATGCAATGTAACCATCTGGCTTCACATTCCCAATACCGTGCCCTCCTCGCCAAGACAGATCACATTCAAACCAAGAGCCAAAGCAAAACCTTCCTTCTTTTCCTTAAGTATTATTGTTAAGGATTTTGTCACAGCAATGAGAAAACTAACTAGTATGGAAGAGAAGGAAACAAGTAATATTTTTTAAATCTCTAATGAATACAACCAGAAACTATTAGATGGAACTAAAACAGTAAGAAAGGGTTGAGATTATGCAAGGGTTACTCAATGAGAAAGGCTCCTCCTGTTTTCCCAACAAGCCTGAATATCGAGAGTGGGTGGGTATGTGTGTCAGGAGAAGCAGCAGACACTGGGCATTCAAAGCAGATAGAAAGTCAGGGCAAAGGCACCCAGGGCTGGGCTAGCAGGAGGGCTCCTGCAGTTAAGCACATTTAGCAAGAATGTCAGCTGAGGACATTGAGGTGAAGGAGGGGCCTGATCAGGTAGGGTTTGGGGGAAAAAAAAACTCTTATAAGGACTTTTGTGAAGAGCAGTAAAACATGATATTTCTAAGAGTGATAAGGTTGTAAGTTAAATACTAACTGTATACAGACTAACCATAGGAGCCGGCAGTGGATTCATAGGAATTGCTTGCTTAAAAAAAAAAAAAAAAGTATTGTTATTTGCAGATGACATGATCGTATACATACTCAACAAAAAAATTCTACCAGGGAATTCCTACAACTGATAAACACCCTCAGTGAAGTGGCTGCACACAAGATTAACTCTAAAAAAATCAATAGCCCTCCTATATACAAATGACAAATGGGTGGAGAAAGAAATCAAGAAGATGGCACCATTTGCAATAGCCACAAATAATACAAAATAGTTTGGGGGTAACTCTAACAAAGCAAGTGAAAGACTAGTATGACAAAAACTTCAAGTCCTTGAAGAAATAAATTGAAGAAGATATCAGAAGATAGAAAGATATCCCATGCTCATGGATCAGTAGGATTAACATAGTAAAAGTAGCCAGGAAATCCAGGTATGGTGGCTCATACCTGCAATCCAGTGTTCGGAAAGCTGAAGCAGGAGGATCACTGCAAATTCAAACCAGCCTGGATTAGATCAGGGCTTGTAGAGGGAGACCCCTCCTAAAACAAACAAGAAATAGCAAGGGAAATTTTCTTTAAAGCATAAAGGAGTGTGTGATTGAGGGTTCTTGTGGTCTCAGATCTCTTCCTGTGGCAATTATCACTAGTTCTGTGGAAACTCCTGACCTTTAATAATGTAGTTTTAGTTTTCTAAAGGTTTTGACAGAGCAAAATTGCTTGACTGAGGTCAGAAGCAATAATGTAGTAGATTTGAGAGACTGACATGGTCCTTGCTGAGTTGAGAAGCTCTGAGCTCAAAGAATGTCATCTGCACATACAGGCATGGATACATGGGTCCAAGCATACATAGGGACAGGATGTCCACACACATGCATGTACACACACACACACACACACACACACACACACACACACACACACCTTAACCTGCAGTTCCTCACTGGAACAGGGATATTTAGTGTTTCTATGGAATACCTCTTTTTAAAAGTTCATAGTACGTTTCAACCACTAACTTAGCAACATTTAAAATCTACTGTATCATGTGAGAATACAATTATTCCTGGTATAGTCAGGATTAATCCCAGGGCTCTGCTCTTTATTAAATTTATTGTTTTATTGTATTTGTGTGTGTGTGTGTGTGTGTGTGTGTGTGTGTGTGTGTGTTGTTTATTTGTACAAGGTCTCATATTATACCCTAGGCTGGCCTCCAACTCACTAGGTAGTATTCAGCACTACACTTGGCTGCTTTGATGTTGCTTTGGGGCTTTGGGGGGGAGTTGTTTTGTTTGCTTGTTTTGAGTTTGTTTGTTTGTTTGTTTGTTCATTTGAGACAAGGTCTCTCTACATAGTTCTGGCTGTCCTAGAACTCGCTATGTAGACCAGGCTGGCCTTGAACTGACAGAGATCCACCTGTCTCTGCCTTCCGAGTGCTGGGATTAAAGATGTGCACCACCGTGCCCAGCTGTGTTTGTTTGCTTGTTTGGGGACAGGGTCTCATGTGAAACTCGGCTAGCCTCTTGTCTCAGTGCTGGGTGCTGGGACTACAGGGGACTGCCAGCCTGCAGGGTTGTGCTCTGCCAAGGAAGTCATTTGTTTGTTGTGTCTCAGCTTTATTATTTAAATATTACTTATAGAGTATGGTGCCTTAGAGACTGTTTTTTATAATGAGGTTCTGGATTCTTCTTGTGCAATACATACACACACACACACACACACACACACACACACACACACACACACACAAACACACACACACATACACGTACATACATACAAATTCCAATCTTACAAAAGAGGATATTGAGAAGAGTTTATTAAAAAGAAAAATCTCCAGGTCTCAGATCATGCTGACTTAGCTGGGGAGAGGGGGGTTGAGGAGTGGACCTGGAGAAATGAAGCTGTCACTAGTGAAACTGTCACTAGTGAGTGGTTAAGAATACTAGTGTTGGAGCTGGAGAGATGGCTTAGCAGTTAAGAGCACTGGCTGCTCTTCCAGAGGTCCTAGATTCAATTTCCAGCAACCAGATGGTGGCTCACAACCATCCGTAATGAGATCCTGTGCCCTCTTCTGGCATGCAGGCAAACATGCAGACAGAACATTGTATGTATAATAAATAAATAAATCTTAAAAAAGAATGCTAGTGTTGAAGGCTGGAGGTATCGCTTAGTGGGAGAGAATATGCTCAAAGCCCCGGGTTCGATCTACACACACACACACACACACACACACACACACACACACACACACACACACTCAAGAAGACACATGTGAAAGAAAGACAAGTGGCCAATGCCTGGGTAGCTCTACCACCTACCTGCTTGAGAATTTGGGCTCATCACTTGACTAAGATGAGCCGTGAAGTGTACATAATAATAATAATAATAGTGACTAAGCTGCAGAACTGGTTGAGAAGATTAAATATGAGAAGCACTTAGCAACTTCTTGAGGCAGAGCCAGTATGGAAAAAACATGAAGGAAATATTTTTGTAGTTGAATGCTGGTAGGAAGGGTTGTGCCCTGGTAGGAAAGGTTGTTCATTGTTTCAGTAGAACGCTCATTATGGGATTTCTCTTTGGCTAACTCGGTGGTGAGGAGTTTGGTCTTTGCAATTGTCCTAACAAGGAAACACTATGGGAAGCTAGTGAGCAAGAGGCTTTTTCCTTACCTGCCCCCCAGGGCCTCTTACCACCCTCTGCCCTGCCTCTCTGTGTTCTGTAGGCTGTCTTGCTGGGCTTTTCGTTTCCCACTGGTTTAGGGCAGCAAAGACCCACTTTGTTCAGATACCAGAGGCATAGCATAAGTCTTAGAAGCCTTCCTTGCTATTCTGGAATTCCTTCCTTAAGGTGTCTCAAGTTTGAGGTTGTTCCCTCCTCAGTGTCTGCCGAACTGCTTTGTAGGTGTTCAGAAACACAGCATTCTTGCTTACTTACAGTGGGGTCTCTCAGTAGGTAATCCAAGTGACAAGCAAGGGTGATCTCAGATCAAATGAAGTGTTATGCAACCATCCTCTATGTTATTAAATATTTTCTGCATCCATGTAAGACCTCATCTTGTCCTTCTTGAGTATGTTTCTTTCTTTATGTTTTGATTATAAAACGGCATTGAATATGGCCTGACATGCTACTATTTTAGAATCAAGTACCAAGGTTTCAGAAGTCCAAACATCTCTCTTCAGAAACAAATGCACAGTTAGAATAGCATGATGTGTATACAGTTCCAAAGTGTGTTATCATGATGAGATCTGGCTTTTCTAATCTCTTGATCTGTAATTCATGTGCCATCAATCTAAAACTAACTAATCACTGAGCCAAAGTATCCACAAATAAGTGTGTCATTTCAAAACCACTGTTTTTATTACACATGAAATTTTAAGAACATTGTTACTGTCACAGTAATTAAGAAAAGAATATTTCTAATCAGTCTGTCTGCACCAAGTGATCATGTATGCTCATGCATCTGTCTATCATCTTAGATACATGACTCTATCTCCATGTATATACCATTAAATTTCCAATGCCCAATCATCTTGATGCTATAATTACCTCAAGCACAAGAAAATGTTAGTGGTTCTTCACCTGAGTTTTATTTGTACAGATTTTTAAAAGACTGATACCCTTGGTCATAAGCCCAACTAACAAAACCAAGATAAGTGGAAAGGGAGCACTTTGTCATTAGAATCTAGAGCTCTCCAGGTGATTCCAGTGGACAGACAAGGTAGCAGCCATGGTTTAAGAAACTCTAATATGATGGGTAGAGGCAAAACACTCAAGTGAACTTAGTAATGTTATCCCATATCTCTTCTTAGGTGTTTCGGCATGGAGACCGAAGTCCTATCGATACCTTTCCTAATGACCCCATTAAGGAATCCTCATGGCCACAAGGATTTGGCCAACTCACCCAGGTCAGTTTGATCTACTTTGTTGTTGTTTTATATTTTTGAGGCAGATTTTCATATAGTATAGGCTGGCCTTGAGCTCTGTACACAGCCAAGAATGACCTTGAACTCCTTCCTCCACCCCCAAGTGCAGGGATTGCCGGTGTGAGCCACAGCTTTGGTTAATTTTTTGAGTAAAGGAGAAATATGTACAGAGTTTTCCACCTTGATACATTTATCCTGCTGACTGTATTTAAGTGTGAGAGAGGTTTCCATGGAGATTGTCTAGAGACGTTAAAAATAGCAACAATGTCTTATTTAATTGGCATAGGGCATGGCCTGGGCATTAGGATGTTTGGACAATCCTCAACTGATTGCCTCGTTTTTAATGTTCAGCCAAAGCTGAGAATCACAGCCCTAACCAACCATCAGGTTTTGTAGAAATTATAACTCAGAGAAGCTGTGGGAAGCCAGTGTCTGCTGCTTCAGAAGGTCAGAGCCCTTCCCACCATGGCCTCACCATCTTTCTGTCTAATGAGAGACTGTCACAAAGGCTCACATATTGTTTTCTTAGTACAGGGCTCCTGTTTCCTTGCTCTGCTTTTCTAGTGAGACCGAAAGATTTTTGGAGGACCATGAGGTCCAGATTCCAACCTAGAAGCCTCTTAAGTAGCAGATTCCAAAAATCAGCTCTAAGTTAGAAGACAATTAGACCCAAAGTACCCACTTCTTCAGCTACTCAGACTGTGGTACATTGTTCCTTCACAGCAGTCATCCTCATAGTTGATAAGAGGAGATGACAGAGATGCTTGCAAGTAATATGCAAATGAATAATCTTGTGCAAGCAGTGGCTTCAATGACTACGTCCTCTCTGACTTGTGACTCTCTGCTGAGGCTCTGGATTAATGACAAACTTCAACGCAATGTTCCTCCAAGCCTGGCATGCTGTTCCTTCAGCCTGAATCATTTGGGGTCCTTGCTAAAACAGATTCTAGGACCTCATTCCAGATGTAGAGAGCTATGATCTTAGGGGGAGATGCTGATGATTCTGAGTTTCAATAGATGCCTCTGGATACTTTTATTTTAATGCACATCAATGCTCTCAGCTAAGGCTGATCTCTGGCCCACCAGACTCTCTGACAAAGATGGTTAAAAACAGATCCCTGGGGCTGAAGAGTTGGCTCAGTGGTTAAGAGCACTTGGTGTTCTAGGAAGTGATTCAGATTCAATTCCTGGTACCTACACAGTGGCTCAACAACCATCTGTAACTCCAGGGGATCTGATGCCTTCTTATGACCTCTGTGGACACCAGGCACACATATGTTGCATAGACACACATACAGGCAAAACACTCATACACATAAAATAATAAAATAAACAAACCTTTTTTTAAAGTTTTCTGAACCCTTCTTCCAAAGTTACTCACTTTGTAGATCAGGCTGGCCTTGAACTCAGAAAAATCCACTGCCTCTGTCTCCTGAATGCTGAGATTAAAGGCTTGTACCACCATGCCCAGCACACCCAAAGTTTCTTGCTCAATACATCACTAGTGGGGCCCAAGAATTTGATTTCTAACATGCTCCCGAGTGATGCCAACCCTGCTGATCCACAGATCACACTTTGAGTAACAAGCTGTATTTTTTATGAGCCAGCCATAAATAGACTATGAATATAATAAATCAGTAAGGCTTAAAGGGACCTTCAGATTCAGCAAGTTCAACTTCATCAGATGACTGGATTTTATTCACAAAAATCCCTAGAAAGTGATCAAACAATCACTTTGAATGTTCTACCCACAGGAATCCCACTACCACACCTCAGATGAGCCATTTACCTACAGAAATTGTCCACTATCAACTAAACACATGCTAACAAAGATGAAGGAGTATTCTCAGGGAGTCCTGACTAAGGCAAGGTTCTCTCTTGTCTTAGTTGAAATAGGAGGTTTTATTGTGGAACTGTGATGCACATCTTGTTCACATTACTATGATAATGTACACTTTCCCTAATCTTCATTTTTATTTTCTTTCCCCATAGCGGGGCATGGAACAGCATTATGAACTTGGAAGTTATATCAGGAGAAGATATGGAAGATTCTTGAACGATTCCTATAAACATGATCAGGCAAGTTGGAGAATCAGGACTTTGAACCTTGACCCTTGAAAAAACATCAAACTAATTTTTCATGCGTATGAAGAATTTATAACTTTGCCTTTTGTCTGAAGAACTGATACACATCAGAGATCTTATTTACAGATGTATTTCTCTTTATGGAATTATTTTGCCCTGTAAAAATTTATGAATCTTAGTTCAAGTTTTTATAGGTACCTGTGTAAATACTTTGGCTTAGTGTCACTGGTCAACTCAACTATTGGCCTACTGATTGCTTTGTTCCATTGTATTTTTGTGGTATTATCCATCCCTTGACAGATATGAGTATGATGGTCCCACCATGCCTGCTGATATCTTATGCTGCTCCTCAGTTCTTTCCCTGACACCCTGTTAGCTCCACAGAAAGAAATCAACACGTTTTCTCTAATTTCCCATTTGCTTTGATTTGCCCCCTCTAGGTTTATATTCGGAGCACAGATGTCGACCGGACTTTGATGAGTGCTATGACAAACCTTGCAGCCCTGTTTCCCCCAGAAGGGATCAGCATCTGGAATCCCAGCCTGCCCTGGCAGCCCATCCCAGTGCACACAGTGTCACTGTCTGAAGATCGGGTCAGTATCCTGCGTAATCCAGGAGGAGGAAGCCAGGCTGCTAGGGACTTACAGATTGGGTCTGCTGGACACACAGGACATGGAAATGCCCAGACAACCAGGGCTAGGAGCTGAGGTTCTCTTTAGATCCATTTTGCTTTACTACCATTTCAACTTTTGGTAATTTCTCTCCCTCCATCTTCACATATGTGGCCACACACACACACACACATACACACACACACACATACACACACACACACACACACACACACACACACACACACACACACACAAAAAAACACACACTTCCTAGCTGCCTTCAATGCCCATGATTTTAATGTCCAGCATAGGTTTCTCATCTCCCCTAAATATCCAAAGGTCTCCCTGCCCAGCAAAAACTACTCTCTCATTAAAAATTTACATTCTAGGGCAAACAAAATAAAGTGCTCAGAGAGGTAAAATAACAAGCAAACTTGGCCCAATGTCCCATTGCTAGTAAACAAGTCCTGGGCCTCTCCTGTTCAAAGCATCTTCTTCCCTGTGAAACAGTGGTTCTCAGACTCAGCTGCCCATGAGAACCCCCTTGAGAGTTTTCAGGATGTCTGATGACTAGGGGCGCTCCTCAAGTCAGTCTCTGAGGGTAGGGCCCATACATCAGTATCTTTTAAATTGTTTTTATTTCATTATACGTGTAAGAGTGTTTTGCCTACATGTATGTCTGTGCATCATGTGTGTGCCCTTAGAAGCCAGAAGAGGGAGTTAGATCTGGAACTTGAATTACAGATGCTTGTGAACTGCTATGTGGGTGCTGGGAAGCAACCCTGGTCCTATAGAAGAGCAATGAGTGCTCTTAACTGCTGCACCATCTCTTCAGCCCCAACATCAGATTTTTGTTGTTGTTGTTGTTGTTTTCCAAGACAAGGTTTCTCTGCGTAGTTTTGGTGCCTGCCCTGGATCTCTCTCTCTGTAGACCAGGCTGGCCTCAAACTCACAGAGATCCGCCTGGCTCTGCCTCCCAAGTGCTGGGATTAAAGGCATGCGCCACTGCCACCCAGCATCCAACATCAGCATTTTAAAAATAACCTTCCTAAATGATTTTATGGGCAGCCAAGTTTGAGATGCAGCACCATATGCCAAGTTGCCTAAATGGAACTATTTGAGAGAAATTCAAATTAACTCATTTAGAATAGGGTTGACCAAGAAATTAGTCTTTTCAAAGGAATTGGTGTTTAGAAAATAGGAATAAATAAATCTAACCTTCTGATGTAGAATGTAAAGGAATATGAAGGAAACAGTTTGGAACAGAGAATTATTCCTCAATTTCCCTGAACTGTATTGTAAGCTTGACCATTTTGTGTTTTTATAACTGAGCACTACAGACTGGGTCAATTGTTTAAATACAGAGGTTCATTCAGCTCACACTTTGAAGACTTGAGGTCCGAGGCTGACATCAACATCTGTTCAGAATCTGGTGTGGACCGTCTTGCTGAGTCATGACCTGCCAGAGGATGTCAGATGGCGAGGCAGAGCAAGTGTATCCGAGAAAGTTTGCTTTTATAACAAATCCCCTCCCACCCATAAAGAACCACTAATCCATTTCTGAGGGCAGCACACTTGTGACCCAATCAATCACATCTCCCAAGTTCAACCTCTCAACATAGCCTCACAGGAGACCAAGTTTCCAACACATGACTTCTCTAGAGGACATATCCAAATCACAGCAGCATCTCATACTCTGTGTATTAGTATTGTCCGGAAGCTTTTCCCAGGGACTTCTGGAATACACTATTCTCCTCTCTGCCCTGTCAATACTGCTAGAAACTTGACTTAATGGCCATATGAATTTTTCATACATGCTTCATAGAAATTTTCAAAATGCTTTGTAGAAACGGCCCTCCCCTGTCACCCCCACTCAAGGTTAATCCACTATAACCATTTTTTCTGATGTTTTCTGAAAAGCTAGAATGTTGTATTTATATCCTCACCTTCACAGATCAGAATGGAAGCATTATATTACCAATGTTCTAAAAAGGTCGTGAACAATACTTTCCAAAAAGAAAGGAGAATTGTTTACCACACCCTTTTCTGCAGAGAAGAAACATGAAATGCAATACCAAACATAGCCAATGTGGAGCAAAGGAGCTTGTCAACTATAATCCAGACAGATGATAATCAAATTACACAATAAAGATACCGGTGCTATTGGAAGATGAAAAAAGGAACAGAGAGTGAGAGAGAAACAAAAAATTATCTATTCATAGGTTCCAGCTACTTTTTCATTAAGGCAAGAAAAATTCTTATCAATTAAGAAGTCTAACAAAATTGTTGAAAATGCTAGGTTACTCTCAGAGCTGTGCTGACCGATGAGTATAAGACCAAGCTTCACCCCTAACTTAACATCTGTTTGACGAAAGAAACTTAGCATATATCAACCACGTGGCATAATACAAGATGGTGGGCAATGATTTCAACACAAGCTGCATATACTGAAGGAATTCAGAGAAGAGGCTACCCAGGGCAGGGATTCAGGTCCTCACAGAGAGTGAGACTGAGCTAGACCACTGAGGTAAGAGAGGAGACGAAAGCATGCATTCCTCAATGATATTACACACATGTGATGAGGGGTGTCCTGACAGCGCTTAAAAGGAAGAGATGTGGGAGCCTCAGAGAGTAATTTTTGATGTAATTCAGGGATGCAGAAATGAAAGCCTGAGATCACATGGTCATAAGTAGGAAGAAAGAGAAGATGAAACCAGGTGGCCTACAGAGTCAGAAAGGACAGATAGGAAGCATTCTGAGTAGCGACTGGCACACTGCCCATGCCCCACTTGTTGACAATACATCGGTGGGTGTGACAGGAGATCACTATCTTGTAGGAAATAGACAATAAAGAACACCCATAAAATGCTTCCAGACTGTGATAAGTTCCTCGGAAGAAAGAAAGAAGTTGCTGTAGTGGCCGGGGCAGAGTGGCTTAGAAACCTGAGGTGGGGCACTCATCCCCAGCATTTCTGGACGGGAGAGTGTGAGAAGGAACGGCACTGGGGGAGTAGGGTAAAGTATGTACTGTTATCTACTTGTCACCTCACAGAGACTCTTAGAAGCCATGGCAAGCTTGGATTGGATTCCAGGTAAAATGAAAAGTCTCTGAAAGTTAAGACCCACAAAAATGATTGGATCTTTGGGGTGCCCTTAGACAGGGTGTAGCTGCTGCGAGGAGAATGGACTGGGCAGTCAGAGGAGTGGGCAGCAACTGACCAGATAGGAGGCATGGGACTGAAACACAGATTGTGCCGGTCCAGACTGGGAGAGGGCAGTGAAGACGAAGGAAGGGGTCTGTTTTAGATCTAGGCTGTAAGTAGACCAGTTCTAGTGACTGCCTACAAAGCAGGTTTATAAACTATATCGTAGGCAGAAGTAAAGACATTAGTAAAAGGAAATGATTGAAGACAAAGTTGACCTCAGCTTTACACACATCAGTGATCAAAGAGCAGCCTCCGAATAGTGCTATCAAGGGCTGCAAAAACAGACCAGATGAAAAAGAACCGCAAAACAAATTTGTGAGTCAGCAGCCTGTGCATTACAGTTAAAGCTGAGAATGATTGTGAAACTTACACTGATTTTACGGTGATTTGTTTGTCCTCCTAATACGTTTTTAATTATATTTTCCATACATTTAATACCTACCCTTATTTGACAGTCTGCAGATTTGCTAGAATGAAGTCAACGAATAGTTGATCCCTTTAAGATTCTATCCTAAACCTCTAATTTATTTTACCTTCCTCCTGGGGAAGAGAGAGTGCACACAGATGCGCACTTAGTGCCAGAATTAAAGGGATGGGGAGAGAGCAAGATAACAGTCATCCACACGGAAAATGAGCAACTGTGAATATTTACCAGCTCACGAAAGGAAAATAAGTAAATCACAGTTTCTGCATCTGGATACATGCCCTATTGTTTCAAGACCTGAGGACCATTTGCCTCATTGCTTCTAATTTTAGAATTTCTATTCAGCTCAAAGGACACTGGGGGCTTTTAAGGTTGCTTTAGACCTAATGAGGCTTAAAGTGTTGGCACTGAGTGTCTGCCAATGTTCACCTGACTAATCAAGGTCTTATGTTTTTTCTTTCGTCCACAGTTGCTCTACCTGCCTTTCAGGGACTGCCCTCGTTTTCAAGAACTCAAGAGCGAGACTTTGCAGTCTGAGGAATTCCAGAAGAGGCTTCGTCCATATAAAGTTAGTACTGCCATCTTCCTCATACTAGGGTGCAAAGGTCAAGACAAAGGATGAAACTTGGCTTTCTTGAAAGAAGTGTGGGGTGAATGTGTCTGCCAGTGGCTTGTTTTAGCAGTGGGCTAGGATATTTAATTAGGGAAGTCCTCCTTTCCCTGATTAAATAACTTTCCCTTTTGTAACTCAGAAGCATTATACCGATCACAAGGCTGACCACTTTTTTTTTTTAGTTTTTATTATTTAATAAAATATCTGGAAAATATTTTATGTGTATATGTAAAGTATTTCCTCAATTTTTTTGCAAATGTGCAGTGTTTGAATTGATATACCATAACATATTTTCTTATTTTGATTGATTTACTGAAAATGTAGATCATTTCTGATCCTTGTTGTTGTTGCTTTCTTTGTTTTTTTGTTTGTTTGTTTGTTTGTTTGAGACAGAATTTCTCTCTGTAACCTGGCTGTCCTAGAACTCACTCTGTAGACCAGTCTGGCCTTGAACTCACAGAGATCTGCTGGTCTCTGCCTCCTGAGTGCTGGGATCAAAGGCATGCACCACCACACCTGGCTCTGCTCAATTATTAACGCTTTGTGCTCTTCCTGGGGAGATCCCAAGTTGCTCCATCATGCTTTGTTAACTAGTCCATCTTTTCTCACTAATGTGAGCTCTTGTTTATTAAAATCTCCTTATAGATGGAGCCCATGTCTAGAATATAAATTCTAATTCTTGTTCTGATTAGCCAAATAAATCATGGTTTATTAGAACTTAGTAGTGTATTTTAATATCTAAGGTGCTAATCACCTGTCATTCCTGTTATCTTTTCCTTCTTTCCTTCCTTCTTTCCTTCTCTCTCTCTCTCTCTCTCTCTCTCTCTCTCTCTCTCTCTCTCTCTCTCTCTCTCTCTGAGCAGGCTGGCCTTGAACTCACAGAGATCTACCTACCTCTGCCTCCTGGCCTCCAGCCAGCTGTTTCTTTCTTTCTTCATTGTTGTTTTGAGACAGGATTCTCTTTGCATAGCACAGGCTGTCTTGGAATTCAATATGTAGATGAGGCTGGCCTCAAACTCAGAGATCTGCCTGCTTCTGCCTCCCCGAGTGCTGGGATAGATATCATTGTCTATGGATGATAAAAAAAAAAAAAAGCCTCCGTGTAGAAATATTGTCCTTCTGTTTGTGTTCCAGAGCTTCATAGAAACCTTGCCATCACTGTCAGGATTCCCTGGCCAGGATCTTTTTGGAATTTGGAGTAAGGTTTACGACCCTTTATACTGTGAGGTAAAAGAACTTATCAAAACTTCATTTGCAATCTGATTTTATGATTTGATGTATATATTGAATCAGATAAATTCATTCATTTTCTTTCTCTTTTCTAAAATGTGCTGCTTATATTGAAATATAACTCAAGATGTCCTTATAAAAGCTTGAAAATCTGTACTTCTCTTTTCTAGTTATTATTTATGTTTCTGTCCTTTAGAAAATTGCAAACAAAATTGCTTTTCTTCAAAACATTGACACTCATTTATTCTGCACTCACGCTGGATGCCAGGTTTCTGTCATTGGTTTTAATGAAAAAAAAAGCAATGTTGTTATATACAAAAAGGGGAGAAAATTGCAAGGTTTCTGGATATTAAAAATAAGTCAGATAACGGTAAACCAGGCTGCCAGACATGGCTTCTTAGAAAAGAACACCCCTGTGTGGTGCGATTGAAATCATCTTTGTAGCTAGATAAAACTTTTCTTTCACCAGGCTCCATCTTCTGGCCAAAAGGAGTAATTTTTATTCCTGTATCTTGGAGCAAAATTCTGACCTCTGCATGCCTTAAGTACACTTCTGACATGGAGGTCATCATGAGTATGTGGGGCAAGATTTACCTTCCTAGTTCTGTCTCAAAGAGAGACAACATAGTTTACCCATCTCTGCGACAATCAGGTGACCTGACCATGAATTCTCCCATATTTTCTCTTTATCTTCAGCGGTTTTTTTTTTTTTTTTTTTTTTTAAGGAGCCTCATTTTAGTCCTGGCAACGGCAGCAGCAGCTGCTTCTGCTTCTCCTTCTCCTTCTCCTTCTCCTTCTCCTTCTCCTTCTCCTTCTCCTCCTTCTCCTCCTCCTTCTCCTCCTCCTTCTTCTTCCTCCTCCTCCTCTTCTTCCTCTTCTTCCTCTTCTTCTCCTTCTGCTCCTCCTCCTCTTCTTTTTTTTCTTCACATTTACTGTTTGTTCATCTGCTTGTTCTGGAGATTAACAGGGACAACACAGTCATGTTACCCCTGTAACTTCCCAGGTTTGACCTCAGCTATTCTTTAATAAGGCTGTGTCACCTGGTGTCTTTGTCACAGCCCTTGCATCTTCTTCCTGCATCTCTTTACATCACTCAGCTCTTCTTACAACCTCTTCTCTTCCTCTTTCTCTCCTCCCTCCCTCTCTCTTCCTCTCCCGCACCCCACCTTCCCCCACTTTTGAAACTAGGAGGATCTTAATCAACTCTCCCTAACAGGTAATGACATCTGCACAAGGTCTGTATCTTTACTGCTTGCAGCTTGGTCATTTAGCAAACATTTACCTGTAGTCACTGTGCATGAGGTACAGACATCCCCCAGCCAGAGAATTAGAAGTTCACAGTAAACCTGTGAAAATTCCAGAAACTCATGGACCTTTATGACTGGCCTCATAAGAAAGTACTGGCTTTTAGGGAACATCACCTAACTCTATACACACCTTTTGCCTTTGTCCTAGAAACAGACCACAGGGGAATGCCATTTACTGCCTTGCTCCCTCTGACTCACACTCAGCCAGCTTTCTTATACAAGTCAAGACCACATGCTGGTGTGGTGCTGCCCACAGTGGGCTGGCCCCTCTGGCATCAATTACCAATTAAGAAAATGCCCCCACAGACCTGCCTAAGGCCAATCTGATGGGGGCAATTCTTCAAACAAGATTTCCTCTTCCCAGGTGACTCTAGTTTGTGTCTAGTGGACAAAAACTCTCCAGCAAGCCTCCGTCATAGGTTCATAACAATATTCCTAAACCTTTCATAAAGGAATGAAGTACACCCTTGCCCTGTGGCATCATGTTCTATAAAATCTGAATTATGCATTGACCCAGAGTTAAGCCATAAAGTTACAGGCTTATAGGTAAGGACAAATTATTTTATTTAGATTTTCTATCTGAAAACTATGACTAGTTCTCATAAATTCTTAGAGAGAAATGGCAGGATCAGCAAGGCTGCCTGGCCCTAATTGTTCTTATGGGATGAAGGCAAAATGGAAATCAGCAAAGGAAGTCATAAATCTCAACTGTGCACACATTTTCCTCCTTTCCATTTTCTACAGGGTGTTCACAATTTCACCTTGCCCTCCTGGGCCACCAAGGATGTCATGACTAAGTTGAGAGAGTTATCAGAATTATCTCTGCTATCTCTTTATGGAATTCACAAGCAGAAAGAGAAATCTAGACTCCAGGGGGGTGAGTATTTTTAAAAAAAAACAACAAAACCTGTTGGCTTTGCACTTGGACAGTCTGGGTCTGAGTTCCAGTCCTGTTACCCACCCACAGAGTGACTTTACAGGAGTCACCATATCACCTTGCAGTTTCCATTCTGCAAAGTGGATATAACATGAACACTGCCCAAGAGACAGTGAATACTAAAAAGAATGTATGTTTAGGAGGCTTAGAACAAACAGGAACCGGTACCTAACACGTTGTCCACAAACACTGCATTGCCAAAAGAGATTGACATTGCCCACTCTGGGTATAAATTTTCACTTCTGGAAATGAGAGTTTGGGACTGAAGCCAAATGGTCCTTTCCATTTATTCCAGATGTAATAATTAAGGATTTATGTCTGGGTTCTAGGAGAATGGATTGCATCTGGTAGCTGCTAGGATTCACACGAGTGTGAAGTTTGGCACAAGTTTGATATGATTTGCAAATATTTGACAAATACTGCAATTGGCAAGTTTATATGGCTTCTCTCACTAGTATTGAAAGACATTGAGATATTTATCAGGGACCCCACTTCACAGTTAGAATTGGCACTTTGTAGTCTTTGACACCCTCCATCATGAAAGCAAAGTCAGAAAGGGGGATGCTGGATCCTTACAGTTAGGATAGGGAAGTAGAAGAAAAACGTCAGGATGGGATAGGTACTGAGGCCTGCAAGGGGATCGATGTAAGCAGGCCAAAATGTGACATAGGGAGAGTCAGGCTCAGACATGACTAATGGAGTCATTAGCACTGAGCAGAAACAAGAGAAGGTCCAACTGTGTTTACAGTTGACATAGTGAAGAAAATGTGTCCGTCTGACATGCTCTCAACATTTTGAGGACAGTAGTACAATTATATCAGGATTTTAGCCACTGGTAGATGTTCACACTTGATCAAGACACGTCAGTTAGAGAATGCACAGGGGCAAAGTACTCTGGGAACCAGACCAGACTGGGAGGAACTAGACCGGCTCAGGAAGTGGATAACTAAATAAAGCACGTAAATCATCGGCCAGAAGAGGAGACTGCAGCTAGAAAAGTCGGGCTGCATGTCAGCTGTCACCAGGAGAACAGTGAACAAGGCATGAAACTGGGCTGGTCAGGAGCAAACTTGCATGATACAAATAAAGTAGGTTGGGGCTGATGATTTAAGGACAATGGTCATTAAGAATCTAAGGGTGTTACTTCCGATTGCATGACACAGACCTAATGGAAATGCTCAAGTCTTCCCTCCACGCTAACATCAAAAGCAGCAAACTGGAGCCTTGTAGGAAAAGCAGTGCATCACATCAGAAAGGAGTCTTAGACGGAACCCAGCATACTGGGAAATTTCCCAACTAGGACACAGACTTCGAGTAGAAGCATGGAAGAAGCTCCATCCTGTATGCTTCCCAGTGAAGGATGCAGAGGATCTATCTCATTAGCCATACAAGCAGCAAGCCTCATTTCTGGTCCAGCAGACACCAACAGTCCCAAGCTCCATCAGAAAGTAAAGGTGGAATCCTAGATACATTCCCCCAACCACATCAACGATGGGGTCAGGAATGCACTGTTCAGAGTGTAGCCTGAAGCATCAATCTACCCAGCAGTGGCTAGGGGACTCTCAGACCCCGCTCAGTACCTACAGAATGAAAATCTGTGTTTTAATGAAATCCCAATGTGCTTTATATCAGAAGTCTAATGCTAGTTGTAGGGACTTGTTTATATGAATAGAAATGGGGTTGATCCTAGCTTGTTACTCTTTCCTACTTCATCCCCCCTTTGGCTACTAGAGGATTTCACCAGGGGGTATCAATTCCTCTCTGAGGGTATGAGTTCTCCATTTGAAGAGAGAATTAAACTAGATTTTGTACAGAATAGTCCTTCCCAGCAATGTCTGGCCTTGGATTATAAAGGCTGACTTCATGTGAATCCACCTGACCTGTTTTCTGGGAGAAGTCCATTGCCCTTGACTAGCCAGAAAACTGTTTCCTGCATGGGTTTTCGGCTCTTGTTTGAGTGTTGTTGTTGTTGTTGTTGTTGTTGTTTGGGGATAGGATCTCATTGTGTGTAACTCCAGATATCCTTGACGTCCCTATGTACACCAGGCTGGCCTTGAACTCACAAAGATCTGCCTGCCCCTGCCTCCCAAGTGCTGGGATTAAAGGCATGTGCCACCAGGCCCAGCTTCCTGCATGGTTTTGGCAAAACACTCTCTCAGCCTGTTCCGATCTGGCTAAGTGAGAGAGACTTGTCCACCACGTTGTGACTAAATAATAAAACAGCTAGACACAATCCTACACAGAAAGCATCCATTGCCTCCATGACACAGCAACACAAAAATACCTGGATGGTGGCCAGTGTTGTCTAACCATTGCTGGAAATTTTGTTTTGCACTTGGTTTTGTGGGTGGCAGTGCTTAGCAATATGTACCCATACATACCCCCAATATCCCCAAGTCTAGTTCAGGAACATTTGTCTATTCTTGCCATAGGCTAGGGACTGGCAAATAACTGCCTGTAGGCTGAATTCAGCCTATGCCTGATTTTGTAAATGAAGTTCCCATTATGTTCCATTTAACCAGTTCCAATTAACCATTTAATGAAAGTTGTATCCAATATTACTCTATACTTGCATTTTCTCCATTGTTTCTTCCTTGCATTTGCCCTTTTCTTCTCCTACTTGGCAAGGTCTGGCTTTCTATTTCAGGATTGTTTTGAGGCCTTTGTTTGGTTTTAGTCTGGTGGTAAGAACCATTGGGGGTGAATGCCATGTGGACAGTTGTGCATTTAGCCGTTCTCCACTGCACCACGTGTATTCCTGCCTGAAAACCTGTCCTGCTGTGCCAACCTCCTGACCTTTATAGCGTTCTTGTCCAAGACAAACATCATCATCCTATCTGATGGGCAAAGATGAAACATGGCACTTCTGCCTAGCCCTTTGGAAAGAAGGGAAGTCAGTGTTCCTCCCAATGGAAAAGACACTTTGAAGTTAGAAGTCACAAAGAGATTGGTGGCTGATGCTCCAGCAATGGCTAAGAAGGGGTTCTAATAAAGTTTTATTGAAACAGCCACACTCATATATTCTGCTCTGCCTGTAGCTACTTCCTTGGTACCACTATAAAGTTGAATAGTGGCAACAGACCTATGTGTCACAAAATCTAAAATATTTACTATCTGGCCTTGTATAGAAAAAATAAGTTTGCAAGTCTTTGCTGTATGTAGCTCAGAAGTCAAAAAAGTAGTTTGTGTCTCCTAATCAATGAGGTTTTGTCTCATTTATATGGATTTAGTAAAGAATAACGCAAGAAACCTAGCACCAAGCATCATGCTTCAGTATGGTCTTCCTGCTTACAAACTACATAACGTTGGGCATGTTGCTGAGTCTTGCCGAGCCTCATTTCCCCACATATACAACAGTATATTAGAATTCCAGGGCCTGTCATCTGGTACTTATGACAGTCAGAATAAGATAATTTCCCCAGAACTAAAGGGGAGTATGATATTCATTGCCAGGGCTGCAGCCTGCCACGAGAGCCCCTGCTGATTGAGGGCAAGCTGCTCCTTGTAGGTAGTTTCCAGGATTCCCAGGAACTTAGCAACTGAGTTTAGCATTGCCCTGGCATGAAGAACAAGGTGCAATCCCCTAAGTATCCTATGGGGCAGCCTTCCCTGGAACAGAGGCATGGACTTGCTCAAGGTGCAGCTCCCAGTTTTTCCACTCACAGCCAGGAATTCCCAAGATCCACATTAAAAAAAAAAAAAAAAAAGAGGTCACCTGACTCCATTAACGTATCAGCCCACAATCTTATGTAACTATTTCATGAGTTTTTGGGGGGCAGGGACTAAGTCTGGTTCACTTAGCATTGTGCCTGGCCCGTCATAACTGCTTGGTGTACATTTCTGAATATACTACATACTCTTAAATTATGGTCAGACTGTTGCCTTCAGTTTTTCTCATTCCTGAAAATATACATTGCCACCACTCATTCCTAAGCCAGAGCACATACACCAACAGGGGTCCAAGGACTCTACTCTCTTGAGACTCTTCAATAGAGAAGGTTGTGGGGGGTCTCTGAAGCAGTATGTACTCAAAATAGAGTCTGGCATGGCTAGGTATTCCCCCAGCTTTCAGTGTCTACAGAGAGAATGGAGATGGCAATTGTTTGTCTGCCCTGATCAATACCTCAGAAGGAAGAGGACAGATTTTGGATATGAAAGAAATGAAGATCAACTCTGCAAATGACACAGAAATGCCATGTGAAAGCTAATGATGCTGGCCACATGTAGACACACACACACACACACACACACACACACACACACACACACACACACACACACACACTCCATGGGTATGCTGAAGAAATGGTCCACAGGAAACAATCCATGATCTGAGTAGACCTATAGAGTGTTGCTTTCTCCCATGGCCTCCTACAGGTCTGACTACCAGAGAGTAGAAGCCAGAGGTGAAGATTCAAGTACCTGCCATGCCATCATCTCAGGTCAACTTTGGGAAAAAAAAAATCATTGGCTAACAATGAACTGTCTTTATGGTCTGAAAAGCATGGGAACTTCCAAGTGTATCAGCCTTCTAACTTGAGCTTTAATGAAAACTGGGATAGGAGAGGACTCAGGAGCCCATTCAACTCTCCTCTCCAAGCTGTGTGAGTCACGTATGCCTCTGAGTTTCAGCTTCCACAAGACCTAAATCATACTGCCTGGCATGCAGCAGATTATGAGCCAAAATTAGATTTTTGCCTAGTCTGTTAACTCACAGTAGATAGAACTCTTGATCATGATTAGACAAGCAGCCCACAGACCATTAGATAAGCCTATGTTTGATTCAACTCTGCTGTTGATCTTGTCTCCTTTAAGGTGTCCTGGTCAATGAAATCCTCAAGAACATGAAGACTGCCACTCAGCCACACAAGTCCAGAAAATTTGTCATGTACTCTGCAGTAAGTACCTCGGTGTTCATTTAGCATAGACACATCCAAGTGTATGACCTCATTGTCTTCATGTCCCCATCACCCAGAGAATGGTAGGAACCTGCACAAAGCTTCTAGAACTAAATACATCATTCCACCCTTGAGGAATTTACAACATAATACTAAGACCAACAGCAAGACAGGCATACACACCAGACAATGCAGCATGAAATCCACTAGAAGCAAGTGCCTTTGCACCTCCAAAGAGGCAGCCAGCCATCCTTCTGCTGCAGGAGCTGCAGAAAAGAGGCATCAGGTCTCCTGAATACGGCAGCCCACTGAGTCATTGAGAGGAAGCGGGTAGTAAGTGGTTCCTCACTGGTGTGTAGGGCTCATGAAAAGAACTGCTAAAACAGTGACTAGCTAGGGACATTTTTGTGGAGACTCTGGTATCAAAGTAACAGATAACTGGTCTACTTGATATAGAATCTTGTAGCTACATACAACTGTTTAAATTTAAATCAGTTATAGTTACATAGAACAAAACCTCAGGCTAGATATGATAGTTCATGTATGCAACCCCAGCATTCACCCAGAAGGTTGGGACAGGAACATTGCTATGAGTCCAAGGCAAGTCTGCATAGAACAGTAGTCCTCAATCTGTGGGTGGCAACTCCTTCAGGGGTTGAAGGACCCTTTCACGGGGGTTGCATATTAGATATCCTTCATATCAGATATCTACATTACAATACATTACAATTCATAACAGTAGCAAAATTACAGCTATGAAGTAATAATGAGATGATTTTATGGTTGGAGGTCACCACAACCTGAGGAATTGTATTAAAGGGTTGCAGCATTAAGAAGGTTAAGAACCACTGACATAGAGAATTCCAAGTTAGTCTGGGTTATATAGTAAAACCCTATCTCAAAAAAAGGGGGGGCGGGAGGGGAGGAAAGAAAAGAGAAGAGAAGGAAAAAAGAAAAGGAAGAAGTAAAGAAAGACAGCTTAAGTGCCTCAATTGCACTGTCCACATTTGTGCTGTTCATGCAGCCATGCAACCATACAACCATGCAACCATGCAGCCAGCATCCCTTGGGCTGCACAGCATAGACACAGAGCTTTCTCATCATCACCATTTTGTTAGGCAATCCTCAAACAATGCAGACTGTCTGAGCTAGAAGGCTCTGAAAGGTCATCTTGTCCTACATGCCTGTTGTGGTAATGTGTGAAAAGACCCCAAAGGTGTTCACACAGGGAAGTCAGTAGCAGGGAGGTAAAATGGGGGCATCACTCTGGGAATGCATCCTCCTGTAGATGACCGGAAGCTGGGAATGGGCTGTAGTGTAGAAGCCTGGTGTATGTTGAGGGGAAATGAGGGTGCACATAAAACTGGGGTGGCAGCAGGAGAGGTAAGCGTTTCTTAGCTATGAGGAAAGCTATGGTTTGGTTGGAGAAAGGGAAAGAAGTGCCTGAAGACGTTGGGGCAGGGGTTGTTACCAGCATGCACTCCAAATGGAAAGACTTGAGAAACAGCCCATGGAGGCAGATGAGGGAAGTGCTTCTGAGAGAGAAGTGGGCCTGGGCTTAGATGATACTGTCGATTCCTTAAGGTTTCTAAATGAGGTTCCAGTCCTGACTTGTGTGAATTCTAGAAAGTCTTGGCTTTAACTGGATTGCTTCTAACTCCTTTTGAATATGTGTGCACAGCCATACAACTTAGGCATCTAGATATATGCAACAAATTTGTGTGTGTGTGTGTGTGTGTGTGTGTGTGTGTGTGTGTGTGTGTGTGTGTGCGCGCGTGTGTGTTTCCCCAAATACTAGGGATTGAAATCAGGGATTTGTGCACTCTACAGACTGAGGTATAGCCCCAGCCCCAGGCAGTCAAATGCTCTTCCATTTTATACATATGAAAGATACAGGTTACCAAAGGTTAGACCACTTATCCATGCCAAGAGTGGAACTAAAAACCACTCTGAGGTAAAAAACTATTGCATTAATCATTTAACATTTTAATCTTAACACTCTCCACTTCCCTACATCTTTAACCTCCCTAAACATCCCTGGTATCAGATACTCTTCTACAACTTTAAAAATCAAAGATGTTGCAATTCTGTGGAAAATGCAACTTAGCATTCATGTGTTCCAGACTTTTTAAATATACTGAAAACCACTATAGCATGCAGAAGGGAAAGAGGCCTCCACAGGCATGGAACTTAAAATCAGAAGATTTGCTTCACATTTATCCTATTTATGATTATATGAAATTAAGCAAGGTACCTAATTTCTCTGGATATCAGTTTCTTCATCTTTTAAATGAAAACAATGTGAGTCAATCTTATTGCCCAGATACTCAAGAGAAATTCATTCTTTCCCCTTCTTACATATTTTGGCACTGAGAGTATGGAACCATCACTGTATCCTACATGTGCTGAAGTTTGATATGTGTGACTCTGAATCAGGAAGCAAACAGCAAAATGATTTGTTTCTAATCTCTGTAGCACGACACTACTGTGAGTGGCCTGCAGACGGCGCTAGATGTTTATAATGGACTTCTACCACCCTATGCTTCTTGCCACATAATGGAATTGTACCAAGAAGAGGGGTAAGTGTCTGCTTTGATATTATTAGTTTGGGTTTGTTTGTTTGGGTTTGAGCAGGGTCCTACTAAGTAACCTTGGCTGCCCTGGAACTCATTATGCAGACCAGGCTGTCTGGAACTCATAGAGATTTAAAAAAAAATTTTATTAATCCTTTGAGAATTTCATACATGCATTCACTGTATTTTGAACGTATTCACCTCCATCCTCCCCTGAACTACTCCTGCATCCTCCTCACCACCACCACCCCACATACACTTTCCCAACTTCATGTCCTTTATATGTTACCCTACTAAGTCCAATTTGTGGCAATTTGTGATGCCCATATATTCATGGGTATGGAGCTATCCATGGAGAATGGTCAACCTCCAAGGACCCTCTAAAGTAAACTAACTTTGCCTCTTCTACTGGCCATCAACCCTCTCTAGCTCCTCAGCTGGGAGTTTCATTCTTGTTTTGTTTGTCTAGATAGAGTTTCATTATGTAGCTGGGGTCAGCCTTGAACTCAGTTTGTAGCTCAAGCTGGCCTTGATCCTCCTCCCATATCTCTCTTCAAAGTGCTAGAGTTACAGCAATGGGCTTCTATGCCAGCCTGATAATATCTGTTGTTGACTTAAGGCCCATTGTGTCAGTCTACACTTGGTTTGGTTTTATAGTCAGAGGGAAGGAATAGGGATAACAGGACTTTGGCTCTTCCGATTCCATGGGCCTTTTATTGGGAAATAATGTACACACAGTAGATGGATTGAGAGAACCATCCCAACTGAAGGAAATGACATTTTTTAAATGAAGGCAATATTAAAGAGAAGGCAGACATTACATTTTCTTCCCTTGGGGGAAAAAAACTGTCAGGTACAAGACGCCAAGAAGGAAATAAAGATGCTTGATGTAAAATATCTTTTAATTAAACAGTCCAACCTGTCACACAGCTCCTGGTGACTCATATCCACCATCCAATAGTCAAAGTACAATTGCTGAATGGTACTTACCCCCTTATGGCCTGGTGTGACTCTCCACTGATGCCTAGCTTGACTCCTGGAAGAAAAAAAGGACAAAGAAAAAGTCAGGTTACAGACATCAAATGTCCTAGTTTACCTAGAACTGAAGGACTTCAGGAACAACGAGTTTTACTTTTCAAATGGGGAATCTCTAGGAAAAATCAGAAAAAAGGTGGTTACCATAAACAAATGTATTAGTTACTTTGCTTTGATAAAATACCACGACCAAGGCAACTTATAGAAGGTCAGGTTTATTGAGAGCTTACCATTCCAGAGAGATAAGAGTTCATCGCCATCATGGCAGGGAGCATCATAGCACGCAGGCAGGCATGGCCCTGCAGCAGCAGCTGAGAGCTCACACCTTAATCCACAAACAAGAAGCAGAGAGCTAGCTCTTAAAATGGCACAAGTGTCTCCCTGGAGCAATGGGCAGATATTAAGCATTTGTTAAAAATCTGTAGGAACGACTGTTAGTGTTAATGATGTGCTCTTTAACTTCTCCTTGTAAGCACTCCTTCTGATGCCCATTTTCCAATGGACATTGAAGGGTGGGGCATTTTAACGCCTTAACTGGCAGCTGTTGCACTCTCCCTTGCTACCCTGGCCGTATTGAGCAAAATAATAATAATAATAATAATAATAATAATAATAATAATATCAAACAGCTAGCTTGCTGGACTACCATTATGCCAGCATCAGACATTTTGAACATTCTATGAATGCCTTGAAATACACCAGCTCCTGAGGTGCAATACCAGCAAAGACTGTTTCACATAGTTTATAACAGACATTTTGCTAACACAAGGCTTGGTGAACTCTGGATGGCTTTGCAACCATTTCAAGCTAGGCCAAAGGCAGAGCACTTCCCTTGGTGGCATAGCAAAGTGACTGTTGTAACTGACAAGACTCATTGATGAAACACAAACTCTCATTTTTACATGAGGTGTGTGCTCTGATTGGCACAAATCCAAGCCTTCATTTGCATATGAGATATGCTGTGATTAGTCCATCCATCTCTTCTCTTGATATATTTGCAGGCTGTTCAGAGTCTCTTAGCAGGGAGACACTGTAAGGAAGTAGAACATCATTAAGACTTCATCCTCAGCCAATATCTCCACTACTTACAAAGAGAATGGGTCCTGCACGGTCAGGAGAGGATAGACACTCTCTTTCCTGAACCTCTCACTGGGCACCAGGCATGAAAAAGTGGAACTAAAATGTCAACTTAGCTACTCTTGCTTTCAAGCACCTCACATCTGTCCATGAAGAGAAGAGCCCAGAATGGAAACTAGCAAACAGATCAGAGCATGATAATAAGAGGCCTGGAAACAAGAAATGTTCTCTCAATAACACAAGAGTTTGAAGGCCAACTCTGGGCATACAGCTAAAATCCTGGCATCAGCTCTAGAGTAGTCTGTTTCTTCAGAGATGAGAGGATTTATCAATTTCTCCAGGCCTCTCTCCTCTCTGATATCTGCACCACAGCTCCGAGCTTGCTTTATGAGGGTGTACAGTCCTAAACTTGTTTTATTGAGATGTGCAGTCCCAAACTTGCTTTACTGGAGTATGCAGTCCTAGCTTGCTTATTGAGGTATGCAGTCCTAAACTTGCTTTACTGGGGTATGTAGCCATAAACTTTATTGGGGTGCTATAGTATGTTCTCAGTGGATCACTTTCTCTCACAGCCTCAATCAAGTCCCTGTTACTAACCAAGTCTAGGGTTCTTTTCCACCAAAAGACTTGAACACTCACAAACTTTATCAAAGGGTCACATACACATACCAACCTGGTATAGTATAGTAATTTACTATATTAAATTACTGTATTCTTCCATGTTCACATTTCATGCCACAATTTTATCCATTTTTCTGTGCCTTTAGTTTGTATTTCCACCACCAGATCCAATTTAGAAACTATTCTGCAGATATATTAATTCATAAAATTAACTTTTCCATCTGCATCAGTGAACCTCAGGTTCTCAGAGGCTTCACACAATGAAAAGTAATCTCTTGTGTATCTAACACTCCAGTGCAGGGGATAGTTGGTCATTAGGTCAAGGCGGGTGTTCCTTGATGTGATGTCATAGGATGACAATCAGGCACTGGGGATTTGGCCTTCATCTTTGAGAGCTGCCCACCTGCAGCTTGTACAAAGGAATTAGTAAGTGGAAAGGGTAAGTAGTTTCTCAAGTACCTCAGCCCCAAAGAAACGTGGCCTTTTTGTTCATACTTTACTGCTTAAAAATGACACACTTGATCCCACTGAGGTACAAAGAAGTCTGAGAAATTAAATCATTTCTGAGCCATAATTCTAGTCTTTGGAAAGATAATCATGATTTTTGGTAGACCATTGGTCCTCAAGGACTATTGGTGGAAGTATTAAGGCAACGGAGAGGGGGCTGCATCAAGGAACTGAGACCAGACTCAGTTGCTCCCTTTCTTCGGGAATAGAACTGCAGAGGTGCTCTGGGTTTTATGGAACTCTGCAGGTGGGTTTAGGTGCCAGCCAGTCAGGGTGGAGGAAGCAAAGGAAGGGAAGAAACAGTACTGGGAGGTTAAGGGATGAATGGGTAAGTGTTTGGTCCCCAGGAGGGCAGGGGATTTTAAAAGAGACAGGAAAGAAGAGACAGGGAAGTGTGGTAAGTGTGCAAAGTGTGCCACAGCAGCCACAGAGGAGGCTGAGGGTGGAAGCTACCCAGGCCTTTGGAATTTGCCCCATGTTGGGCACCGGATATTGGTAGGAGTATTAAGGCAACTCTACATTAAAGGGAGGTTTATTTTGTGGGGTAACTTACAAGTAAAGGGATAGGTTACAGGGTCTGGGAAAGGTGTAGTGCAGTCCAGTGGTATTCTCTGGAGAACTCTGCTCAGTCTACCTCCAGCATCCAGGGTCCAGGAGCACATCTGGATCTCAGGTCTTAAGGAGTCCTGTCTTGGCCCTGCCTTGTAGGCGTGACAGTTAGCGGAAACCTCAATGGAGGTAGTACTTCCAGGTCAAAGCTGGAACATCTACCCACTACATCCAACACTTGAGAAAAAAAAAAAGAGCTGCTGTTACTAAAAAAGTCACTCCAAGATATAAGTACTAATTCACTCCATATTAGGGAGTTTTAAAAAACATATCTTAAGGGATGAGAAGATAGCTTAATGGATACAGAGGACATGAATTCAGATCCCCAGCACCCATATAAAAACTCTGTGTGTGTGTGTGTGTGTGTGTGTGTGTGTGTGTGTGTGTGTGTGTGTGTTTACAACCCCAGTGCCGGGAGTCAAAGGCAGGCAGACCCTGGCAATCAAAAGCCAGCCAGTGCAGCCAAAACAACAAGCTCCACATCCATCGATGGAGAGCCTGTCTCCAAATTAAAGGGGAAAGCAATGGAGGAAGATACCTGACATCACCCTCTGATCTCCACCCATGAGCACATAGGTGTGCGCACATACATATATGTGTATACACACACATATACACACAAAAACATATCTCATAAATGAATATTTGCAGTCACTATGTTCCCTCTTTAAAGTGATATTTTAAAGACTTGCTTATAACAACATCTTCAGGTTGAAATGTGAGGTCATTATAATGAGACAGATCATTAAATCTCACTTGAATTTCTCTCCTGGCTCTTTTATTGGTGAGTGACTTCCACAAACAGGTTGGTGTGGGCCATTCAACCTTCCGGGAGTGAGTTTCGGGGGAGTCCTACCTACCTAGAATGACTCAGGAATTGAACGCACATCATTTTCTTCTGAGAGAACATTCTCTGAAGTGTTGGCATAGCCCCAATTATCTTACATTCACTTCTGTGTTTACTGCTGAAGAAGAGGAGAGATACATTTAAGACAAAGAGTGAAAGAATCCCTGAGAGGAGAGAAAAAAGAAAGGAATGAATGAGAAGCATCGAAGGGACAGACACTATGAGAAGGCAGACCCAACATCTCAGTAGATCCTCACATTTCCCCCTTTAGAAATCAGTACTACTTTATCCAGGTCTATAGTTTGCTATTAACAGGAACTGGAAAGCAAAAACTTCTCTTGTTTACAAAGATAAACTAATGTCTCCTTACCCAGAGATCAAATGGGAACACGGAAGATAAAAGCCCCTCCCCTTCTCCCCTGCGCTGACCTTTGTCCTCTTAGCACATGGTTCTCAACCTTCCTAATGCTGCCACCCTTTAATACAGACCCTCATGTTGTGGTGACCCCCAACCATAAAATTATTTTGATTTCTACTTCAGAACTGTAATTTTGCTACTGTTACAAATCATAATGTAAATATTTGTGCTTTCTGATGGTCTTAGGGGACCCCTGTGAAAGGGTCATTCAACCCCCAAAGGGGTCATGATCAACAGGTTGAGAACCACTGTCTTAAGATGAGGTATCTGACTTAGGACCCTATATGTGGCCAGTTTAGTACGAGACCTAAGAAATTAGGACAGTCCATTCCCACAATACAAAAATGAAGAAAGCTACACCAAGGATTAAGTGTCTGTATTCAACAGGAATCAGGGGGTACCCATAAAATAAAATAAAATAAGAGCTTATGAGAGGTCTCTGTAGTTAAGAGCACATACAGCTTTCACAGAAGACACAAGTTTGGTTCTCAGCACTCACATCAGGCAGCCCACAATTGCCTGAAATTTCAGCTCCAGATCTGATCCTTCTTTCCTCCATGGGTACCCACAAAACACATGGCATACACTCATAGGCATACACATACATAAAAATAAAATGTCTTAAAAAATAGTAACTCCTCATTCTTACTCAAAGTCACACCCAGCTCTGCTAATCATCTTGTCTAATGAAGGGTGCTGGTCTCCACTCTTCCTGCCCGGTTCATCTAACAAACCGGCCCTCCCAACTCCACCAGTCCTTAGGGAAATGTTACAATAGCATGGAAAAAAATCCAGAGGACAGCTTAGCATTGCAGAACTAACAGCTCTGTCCTCTGCCTGTCGCATCAGGGAACACTTTGTGGAGATGTACTATCGGAATGAGACCCAGCACGAGCCCTACCCACTTACGCTGCCGGGCTGCACCCACAGCTGCCCTCTGGAGAAGTTTGCAGAGCTACTGGACCCCGTGATCCCCGAGGACTGGGCCACGGAGTGTATGGGAGCAAGCAATCACCAAGGTACTGGAGACATTTCGGGTTCGTGAGCTCGCAGGGCTCAGCAGGAAGTGCAGGGTGCTTTCTCAAGCAACCAGGGTTTCCAGAAAGTTCTTTGGCCATTATCCCCAGCTTGGAAGGAAATGTTTGGATTGATAACTTTGAGCAACTCCTAGCTCTCTATCTAGGCTTAATGCTTAACTTGGTTGGTCTTTCTTTCAGTGTTGCTGTGAAAGAAAACCAGGTCCCAATGTAATCAGGAGTAAGAGTTAGGTCCAAGTTGTGGGGCTGCCATGGGCGCCGTGATTAGCCCAAAGAACTCTACTGTTGAAGGACTCCCAGGTTTTGCTTGAGCGGGATGGAATAAGGCTGCACTGAAAATATCTGAAGTAAAACGAGTTTCAAACAAAGCCCACGAGTTAGTGTACAAGCCAGAAAAAGAAGCCGCTAACCCTAGGCTAATGTGCAAAGGACTGATTTACCCGACAACGGCTGCGCTCATCGGTTCCTGCCTTCTCTCAAAGGCAGGCAAAATGATGAGACAGGAGAAACACCTGGCAGAGTTTTCCAGACCCCGCGTGATCAGATTTTATATGTATGTTAAAAACACTGGGTAGCAGAACTGAAAAATAAAAACCTCATTGTGTCCATTCACGCTCCTTTCAAAGAAACTTTCTCTCCAGAAAGCTCCATATATGGTGTCCATACAGCAGCTCCCAGAAGGTACTTTGTAACCAATAAATAACCAGACAAGGGCAAGATAATCAGAAACAGCACCTCAGAGGTGAGAGGGCTCCACCAAGCGTCCCCCAAAACTCCAGTGCTAAGAGATGCAGAACCTAAAGCTGATTCATAAGAGGAGATAAAAGAATACACACACACACACACACACACACACACACACACACACACACACACACACACCACACCACACACACACACACCACACCACACACACACCACACCACACACACACACACACACACGCACGCACGCACGTCACGCACGTCACGCATGCACGCACGCCACTAAAACAAAAATGAGACTATTAGAGAAGCCTCCAAGTCCAAAACTTATTGGAACATTGAGTGTGACTACAAAATCTGCTCAGAGGACAACGGAGTGTTGGAGGCTTTGATTCTGGTACCTTCCGAAGCCCTAAGTGAAGTGCCTGGTCTACTACCACTGCTCCCTGTGCGAGAAGAAACTGTGCCTGGAGGGCCATGTAGAGCCTTGATTGGCCACGCAGCAGAACAGAGCTTTACTTCTCAGATCAATAAAGATGAGAAGCCTGCTGGACGTGGCCTCCACTGGAAGCCAGGATCTACATCAAGGCCGCCCTCTCTGGGGTTGGTTATGGAATGAATAACCCAAGACATGGGTTGACAAGCTTCTTGGTATTACTTTCCCTCATGTAAATATGTGCTGTTGGGGCCATGCAGCATCTCCACCTGTGAATGTCTTCTAGTAGTGAGGAAAGTGGTGGATAAAGTCATTATTATTAGGAAGTTCAAAGGAATTACTTTAATAATGAACTTTGAAAAGCTTGTGTGTGTGTGTGTGTGTGTGTGTGTGTGTGTGTGTGTGTGTGTGTTTACCTGGGGGGTGTTCTAATATAACAGGAGTGAGTGTATTAAGATAATACAAAATTATTCAACTGACTTAAATTAATTTTTACATTAAAACATAGTTTGAATTACTTGAGATAAAGGGTAAGCAGTGGGTAGCTAGTTCTGTCTCATCTACTCAGTATAGAACTTAGCAGGAAAACATCCTTAGAAAGTTTACAATATGTTACAGAAATGGTATGTCTTACTCGGAACAAGGGCATGTTTTGTAACTATATGGGTTACGGTGGGAACAAGAATTATAGGATACAAGAAATATAAGATAACATATCAGTTCTACAAAGCAAGAATTTTGTCTGTTGCATCCTCAGTACCTCAGAGAGCTGGTAGAGGGCATTGTTTGGTGTTCAATAAATATTTTCTGACTGGTGTATAATTAGTTATCTTTCCTCCTGAACCCCTTCTTATCTTGATTAGACACAATACCCAGCAGTCAGGGAGTCATGTTTAGCCCACTCTGAGATTTATTCCCCAGCCAGCTTGTCTTTTGTTAAACCTCTCTGCAGCATGTCTGCAGAATTTTCCCCTCAAAACAGCACCACTGGCAATCCTGAACTCAAGTGCAGAGAAATGTGATTAAGCAGCAGAGTCTATCAACCAGAAGAAAATGTAATGGCTGCCATGCTGCAGCATCCCGTGCAGATACATCCCGTGCAAGGGTACAATGTGTGTGTCTCTTCTGGCACTGACTTCCACAACTTCTCTTTGGTAGCTTGAAGTTGGTCGAAGCTGCCCATCACAGAAATCAGCGAGTGGCACAAACCAGTGGGTTGCTTCAGATTCCAGTTGCCAACACCCTATTGATTTTAACTAGCAGAAAGCTTGATAGGAGTATTGTTGGGGGTTTTCACTCTTTTTTACTCTTTTGAGGGGACCGCCACCCAACTCCCAAATAAATTCACACACGGAGGCTTATTCTTACTTATGAATGCCTGGCCTTAGATTGGCTTAGTTTCTAGCCAGCTTTCCTTAAATTAACCCGTCTATCTTTTGCCTCTGGGCTTTTCCCATTCTCTAACTTCTGATGTCTTACTCTTACTCTGTGGCTTGCTGTGTGTGAAGCTGGGTGGCTGGCCCCTGGAGTCCTCCTCCTTCTCTGGCTCCTAGATCTCAGATCTCTCCTCCCAGTTTTCTCCTTCTATATATACTCTTTGCCTGCCAGCCCCACCTATTCTTTCTCCTGCTATTGGCCAGTTCTTTATTAGATCATCAGCTGTTTTACACAGACACAGTAACACAGCTTCACAGAGTTAAACCAATGCAACATGAACAAAAGTAACACACCTTAAAATAGTCTACTACTTAAGAGTCTATGATACAAGTGACCTCCAATAAAAATAAACTTTATATTTGAACTCCCTAATGAAAAAGGACTAGACTACGCTATTCAATAAAGTCTCGATGGGTAATGCTAGAGGTGGCAGGCAAAAGTGGAAACATTCCTGATATAGGAAATGACCACTGGGTTGGACGACCACTTGCCTTAGCATAGGTTCTATACAGCACACGCTAAGCATGGAAGGTGGTAAGGGCTGAATATCATTTTAACGGGACCACCAAATTTAGTGCCTAATTTAGCAAATAAAAAGTATAGGAGTCAAAGTCAATCTACAAATAGCTCTAACAGCTGAATTATGATCTTGGGGTGGGGAGAGAATCAGGGGTCAGGGAGTGGGATACAGAACATATGTTCTGAGAAAGCCAATACCTAAAGCAAGACAAAAATTATATAGAAGTATCCTGTATGTATGAGGTGCTGGCAACCCTGCAGTTGATGCTTGCAGACTGAATAATTGTTTGGCCCTCCAGACTCAACCTTACTTCCTCTTGGAACTCTAAGTTAGTTGGTTGGTAATAATGGAGAGAAGCTATGAATGAATCTCAAATGGAACTGCTTTCTAAAGACCCAATCACTGGCTCTATTTGCAAACCCACGTACCAATCAATCTGTGTCACTTGGCATCTGCTTTTGGCCTAGTCATAGTTAAGAGCCCTTCTCTGTAATGCCGCTCCCAGCACCATTCCTCCCTCAAGAGTGAAGTCAACTGATTACAACACCCTTTTCTCACCCGGTCACCACTGTCTTCAGTTTCCGGGGCCATCTCTCCTCCATCATTAAAGGTCTTGGCACTTGCAGTATCACTTGGCATGAAGTAGTTTGACCCCACGCCTACTCCTGCCCTCAATGGCAGCAGCCATGGCATTCATAATGATGATCAAGCCTGTGCCCTGCCAACCAAACCAACACCCTACCCTGGGGATAGACAAGACAAGCAGGGAAAGAGTTAAGAAACATGCCCCAGCCATACAGCAGCACCGTGATGAAGGATGTACAGGCAACACTGAGGACATACAACAGAAGCAATCAACTAAGCCTACTGGTCATAGAGTTTTCTCCAATGGGGCAATGTTTAAACAGGAGCCTGAGGGAGAAAAGGAGCCAGCCAGGTGGATGGAATGGAGCTGAGCAGAAAGGAAAACGTCCTAGACAAAGGGAAGAGAGGAAGTATGGAGGCCAGAAAGCTGAAGACAGCGTGGGACATTTTAGGAAGAGGATTGAGTGCTTCCTAGATTGAGCTGAGCTGTTCTGGTCATTGAAAAGTTTTGGGTAGAGGATTGATGCTGCCACTGGCTTCTTGTTTTAGAAAGGCCCTGGCTTCAGTGAGAGAGCGGATCAGGTAGGAAGGAGGCTGAGGGCATGGAGGGTAAGAGGCTACTACAGTGGACAAGGCCTCGAACGAGAGAGGGGGGCTGGGGTTCAGGTGGTAGAGTGCTGATGTGGCACACAGCAATACCTGGGTTTCATCTCCAGCACTGAAAAAATGCTAGGTGTGATGGTGCGTGCATGCCTGTAATCCCAGCATGGGATTGGGAGATGGAGGCAGGAAGACCAGAATTCAAGACCATCCTTGGCTATATATCCAGTTAAAGAAAGATTGTCAAGACGTCCCCCTTAACAGCTTTTGTGTGTTTCCAGGTGATGGGGTCTCTTTTCAGCCCTTGCGTGCTTTTTAAACTCCTGCTCTTTGCAATAAGGAACAAATGATGACTGTCACTTCTCAGCTTCTAGAACATAACTCTGTCAAATTTCTAAAGTCTTCTATAGTTCAAACAAGCATGTAATTTAAATTAAATTAAATTTAAAAAATCTAAAGCATCACATAGAGGCTGGTGTGGTGTGTGCCTGAGATTGCAGCACTTAGGGGCAGGATGATCATGAGTTTGAGGCAGGGGATTTACCTCATTGGAAGAGTGCTTGGCTAACATATGTAAGGCCCCAGGTTCAACCCTCAGTACTGAAAGATGGGAGGGTAAAGACAGAAGAGGGGGCATGTCTTTCTGAGGATTTTTGTTTGGCTGGTTGGTTTTGTCTGTTGTGTGTTTGTTCTCTCAAGGCCCTTGTCCAGCTTCTTTTGGATAGATTCCTTCTACCAACCCCTGAAATAACCACATCTCAAAATCCCGTAGCTGCTGTCCTTATCCCATGCTCACCATGAGCCTTTGTCTCTACATTTCCAATCCCTACTTCCACATCTAAGTGAAGAATTACAGACCTATTGTTTCCAGCTACCTCTTGGCCACGTCTGTCCACAGAACAGCTCACCTCAATCCCACTTAAAAATAAAAGTCATTTCCTCCTATAGACTGTACCAGCCCTTTTCTGTGGTGTCCATCCCCAGTCACAACACAAACCCATGAGATCATCTCAGCCCCCCCTTTCCCTTGACCGGTGTGTTTAGTCTGTCACCAATGCATCTCAACTCAACTACAGGATTGATCAGCATTCTAGTTTTCTCATCTGTGTCCCCATGTCCACAACTCTATTTCTGAGCCTTGGTTATCTGGCCTGAGATATTTCAATGGCTCTCTACCAAACCTACCATGTCTCCACCATCATGACATCATCTAAACACAGACTAGAACTCATCTCTCCCAAGCGTTAAAATTGCTGGTCATTTCCAGGTGCTTCAGAACAAAACTAAAACAGAAACCTAAAAACTGGGCCCCAAGGCACACATCAAGTCTTACCCCACCCCGACTCCTGTGCTCTAATTGTGTCCCAGACATGCCTTGTGCAACAATTTATGTCTCATGTGAAATCCTATTCCCTCTACACATCATCTCAAATTTCATAAGCTTTCCAATTTTTCCCTTTTTGCAATTTTCTCTCTTGGAATGGCACCACCAACACCTCCATTTTAGCATGGGTCACACTACTACATAACTGTCTATCTGGTTCTCCCACCACATGTTGGGTTTCTCAGGAGCAGAGCTGATAGATCTCAGCATCTCCCTTAGCCTACCTGGTCCAGGATATGTGTTCACTGCAGGAAAAGTGTGGGGATGCTTATTCCATGGGACTGCTATGATAGGATAGCCAATGTTAATGAGTTAATTAAAAAACAAACTTCTAAATTCAGGAAACTACCCATGAAAATAGATTTACCCTTTCAGGAACTCACTATTATAGCCCAGGCTGTTGAGGAGCTTAAAACCCTTCTATTTCAGCATCCCAAATGATAGGATCATAGGCATGTCATCATTTCCAGCCCCACGAAAATAGATTTTTTTTCTGAGACAATCTACACATATAGATATAAATATATATGTAAATCATTAGTATCTGTCTCTTTCCTTTATTCCCATCTAGTTTCCTTTCCTTCTTCAATTCTATTTGGTTCTCTCCAACTTTATTTTAGCTCCATCTACAGTTCTAATAAACTGTCTGTTAGGCTCTAACTTTTCTAAAATTAATTAGATTTTTCATGGCACTAAGCAGCATTCTGATCATGAGAAAAACACTGGACTAAAAGTTGACAGCTCGTGAATTATAAGTCATTTTTGGTGGGGGTGTTTTGGGGGGGTTGTTTTGTGTTTGAGACATGGTTTCATGTATCTCAGGCTGGCCTCAAATTCCCTATATGATAGAAGAATGGCCTTGAGCTTCTGACCCATCTGGCCCCACCTCCTGAGGTATGGGATTGTGGGTGCATCTCTATCCCCACCCAATCTATGCAGTACTGGGATGAAAACCCAGGTCTTTCATCATGCCACACAAGCACTTTACCAACTGAGCCACACTCTCGGTCCTTAGGTCATTGATTTTGGCACTAATATTTATTAACACTTATACCCAGGTACTGATCTATGATCCATAAATACAAAGTTCTTGTGTCCTGAAATGGATAGTCAATTAGAAGAAATGAGAGACAAATGATAAATGTAATACGTATTTTGAAAGATTCAGATCACAAGTGCCTGTTGGCGGACGGGAGTGGAGGATGGTTTATGAATGGAACTTTGAAATGGAAAGACTTCATTGAAAAGATGAGACTTAAACAAAGACAGTAAAGGAGTGACCCACCCAGGGTCTATAGGAAGAGTATTCCAGCAATGCCAGAAGCTGAAGCAAGAGCACCAAGTGGGGGTGCTAAGTGTTGTCTGAAGGATGGTGTGGTTGGAAGAACCATCATTGGAACCTCAGCTCCCACTCTGATGGACATGAGCATCTATCCACAGCAGACTTCATCTGAAGGAGCACAATGACAAGATTTGGCTTGGAAGCACTTGGCTGCTGTGTTTCAAACAGATTGTGAAGCAAGGACAGAAGCTGGGGATAGGCCAAGAGGCCATGACAGTGGTACGGTAGCTCAAAGTAGAGTGGTGGCACAGAGGGAGAGAACCATTAGTTTCTAGATTTTTCCCCCAGTAGAACTGACAGACTTCCCTGACAGATCGGGTGTAGGATATTTGGAAAATAATCAAAGAAGACTCATTTTCCCCCTAAGCCAATGGAAGGGAGTTTTCATCATCCAAGGAAAGGGTAGTTATGAGAAAAACTGATTTGTGGGGAGGAGGCTTGGGCTTTACTTTTGAACTTAAGGTTGAAATACCTATCGGATAACAAAGCCCCTGTTCTCCAAGAGCCTCAGTGCTGAGATCCCAGCAGATGTCTGAAGCAGCAGAGAGCACTCAACCTGTACATAGAATGCTTTTCCCTGTGCATATACACCTACACTAAAGGTTAGTTTATAAACTAGGCAGAGTTAGAGATGAACAAGAACTGGAAACAAAATGCAACAGGGTTGAAGATGTAGCTCAACCAGTGGAACACTTACCTGCCTTGCACACTCGAGGACCACATAAAACCCAGTGTGATAATGCACTCCTATAGTCTCAGTACTTGGAAGGTGGAGGCAGGAGGATCAGAAAACCAAGGTGTTCCTTGGCTACATCCAGTAGCAGTTTCTAGCTGCCTGGACTACATGAGACCTGGTCTCAAAGTCAAAACAAAAACAGTACAATTATTTAAATGCCCGTGATGGAGGGCATATAATGTTCTCTCTCTCTCTCTCTCTCTCTCTCTCTCTCTCTCTCTCTCTCTCTCTCTCTCTCTCTCTCTCTCGTATATTTTCACCCTTCACTCAGGAAAATACATTATAGCTTCTCTCCATGAATCCAATTTCCATCATTCCTACTCTTGTATCTTTAACCATTATTTAGTAAAATAAGGGTTACTTGAACACAGGCACTGAGACCCATGGCAACTGTCTGGTAACCAAGATGCTACAGTGTGATCAGTGGTAGGCAGAATATACAGCATTGACTCGATGGACAGAGGATGACTTACATCACATCCCAAGTGGATGGAGTGGGACAGCATGAGATACCATCATGCTTCTCAGAGAGGTGCAGCATTTAAAACTTAGGAGTTGTTTCTGGAATTTCCAGAATTTTCCACTTTATATAGTCATACAATGGTTGACTACCACGGGTAACTGACACTACAGAAAGTGAATCCACAGACAAGGGAGACTCCTACATACCAAGTACACACTGCATATGAGTCAAGCTTAAGCAAAAAGTTTCAGCTGGAGGTGGAAGTCATTAGTGAATAGATGGATTTGAAATCGTATGACTGATAAGATCCTGTATTTCTAGGACAATAAAATTATCTGCTGAGCCCTAACCAAATGATCTGCTTCTTCCTTTCCTCCCCCTGCAACAAGGTTAGGCTAAATCAGTGATTTTCATCTGTATTCTTGGAGCACTACTGTTCTATAGATGAGACATCAGAACCAGAAATGTTTCCTTCCCATTGCCTAAGCCAGTAAGTCACCCCATGTTTGTACAATGAACAGATGTGTGGCCCAGTGTGGTGGTGAATACATTTTAGTCCCAGAACTTTGGAGGCAGAGGCAGGTAGATCTCTGAGTTCAAGGCCAGCCTGATCCACAGAGCAAGTTCCAGGACATTTGGGGCTACACAGAGAAACCCTGTCTTAAACAACAACAGTAACAACAACAACAAAGATATACACTGAGAGACAGAACAAGCTGGTATAGTGATGTGTCAGCTATGGTGAGCAATGCGTGGAGGCAGAGAAACTCTAATGCATTGGTTTCTCATCTGAAATACGACCTCACATATCGCCTCATGGCTGCTCATCATCATCTGTCAAGAGATCTTTCTCAATAATTACAGATTCACACTACTCTATGCTTATGTAAACGAACACTCCCCATACTCAACTTATGCTCAGTTTCTCCATAAAACATGGTTTTTGGAAAATCAATTTTAAAGGATGGAATGATTCCACTTCTTTTAGTCAATTGCTTGAAGTGAGTTATTCAAATTTTCCTCTGAACTTGTGACCAGATTCAAATAATAATTTAACCATATTTTAAAAATACATGAAATTCACTGAGGAGGCTTGAGGCAATAGGATTGCAAATTTGAGCCTAGTCCATGGGGGGGGGGAGGGAGGAGAGAAGGAAGAAGGAAAGGAGGAAGGAAGGAGAGAAGTCAGCATTACGAAAAGACCTTGGATACTTCAGTCAGTTATCTTCCCTTTTCAGTGAAGAGCTGAGGCCAAATGTCAAAGGTCATGCTGAAACTAGACCTTAAGTCCCCTCCTGACTCTGAGTTCTGGGTTCTACCCACCACACTCTACCGAATCCAAGACTGCTTCAGAAATTCCTCTAGAACTTACAATCAAGGCAGGAAAGCTAGCATGATGGCACACACCTGTAATCCCAGTACTTGGGAAGTTGAGGCAGGAGGATCCAGAGTTCAAGCCAGCTCATCCTTGGCTACACAGCAAGTACAAGGCCCTTCTGGGCTACGTGAGACCCTGTCTCACAAAGTGGAAAAGCAGAAGGACAAAGAAGGCAGAAGTAATGAAAATACATTGCTGTGTATAAAACAAAGCATTTTAAGTTTTAAATTAAGGCAAAAAGTCAACAATGAATGTCATTTTAATCTGCTTTTTAGGGTTTTTTTGGGGGGAGGTGGTGTTGTGATCTTCACGTATTAATTTCACATCTGTGTATTTCTTGTTTTCGCAGTCCTGAGGGTCATCCTTGCCATTACCTTTTGCCTGGTATCTGGTATCCTAGTGATACTGCTGTTTACCCTCATCCGCCACGGGCCCTGCTGGCAGAGAGACGTGTATCGGAACATCTGAACACACGACTGACCTCCAGTGACAACATCTTTCAGTGAGGCAGCACCTTCAGGACGGCCTTCTGCCCTGTGGGCACTGTCCTGCACACACCCTCCCTTCGGAACCTGCCTAGAGTTGGTGTGAGCTCATTGCCACCGGGAAAGAGTGCAGAGCTGGCAGGTTAGACAGGTCTTCTGGTCACGGAGCTGGGGTGTGAGCTACTTATAGGGCTACCCCAGGACTCCTCTGCAAGAGCTCTTCTGCTCCTCCCTGCTCTCTCACACAGGTCCTGAGAGAAACAGGAAGCCAAATTCCAATCCGCCTTATGCCTACAAGAAGAAAGGAAGAGAAAGTGGGACCAGACATAGGTTAGACCACACTAGGTAGTCCAGAATGTTAGACTGGAGTAGAGGGTCCACCGAAAAATGACCTTAGTTGTTTAGTAAACTTAACTCTCTCTCTGTGTGTGTCTCTCTCTGTCTCTCTCTCCCCTCCTCCCTCTCTCGCCTCTCTCTGAATTGCAATTCAAACCCAGTGCTTGATGACTGACAGACTTCTATCTGTACATCTAACACACACATACATATATCCACATTCAAAATGTCTTCAGGTGAGGCGTTGGATTCTCCGAAACTGTAATATCATTCACTTTAAGCATAGCTCGGGTCATTTTCTCCAAATTCCCATATAGAGAAATAACTGAAAGCCAGGAGACAAGTTCATTCCCCCGACTCTTACCACCTGATTTCTATACAGTTTGTACTCCCTTCGCTTGAAAATTATGACCTCTTAGACTTACAAGGGCTGTTCATGGCCGGTATGAAGGGATGATTTTTTTTTTTTTTACTTTATTTAATTTTTGGTGTGGCTGATTGCAAACCCCCGGGCCTCGTGCATACTAGGAGAATGCTCTACCAATGAACTAGGCCCTCAGGCCTCCCCGACTTTTGTAAATGCCAACACAGAAAGAAAAGTACATGGGGTGGGGCTGGGGTGACAACCTACTGGCCTTTGGCCTTAAATTTTAATTTCCTAATCTAAAATGGAAGAACTGAGACAAGAGGACTGCAGAAGCCACATCTAGATTTCATTTTCTGTGAACAATTTTATTCCACTTTCACTACATATAAATCATAGTCCAATCAAGCACCTCCACACCTGGTACCATCCAGAAAGTCATTAGAGAAAAGACTAAAATTTACTTTATATAATTATATTCTGCTCTGGACACACAAGCATTCAGTTTGTGATAAATTTGATCTCACTCCTTAGTAGGTTGCTCTACTTTCTTGGGGTTGCCTAAAGAGCTCAATGTATACCTGATTTTTTTTTGGGGGGGGGTGTCGGAAAAGGGCCTCTGTCTTCACTGTCCATGCTCATGAGCTTGCTTGTTTGAAGACAGGTAGAGACATTCTAGCTGTGGCCCCCAAGACCATACTTAGAATTCATTGTCTAGATGTCTCTATGGGATGCTGGGGCCTTTGACACCCAGCACAGAATTCAGCTCTTCACTCAGATCCCCACCCATCCCTCGAACCCCACGGTGCCCTGTTAAACCCCAAGCACTCACATCTATAGCCTATACTTTTAATATCACTCTCAGTGAGCCAAAGCCACCAGAAACAAACCTTGAAGAGTGTACTCTCTCTCTCCCTTCTCCCTCCCTCCCTGATGTGTGTGCATGTGTATTTATGTGAGTATGCATGTGGTTCATGCACACATGTATGTGCTGCTCTGCCACGCATGCTCAGAGGACAAAGGAAGCTGTCACATGTCTTTTTCTCTTATTCTCCTTTTTATGACTTTTAAGACAAGATTTCTCACTGAACTTGGAGCTATTCTGGAGTCCAGCAAGCCCCAGTGGTCCTTCTGGCTTGTCCCCCACAGCACTGGGCTTAAAGGAACACACAGGCCACAATCAGCTTTTTACATAGGTGCTTGGGATTTGAACTCAGGTCCTCACACTTGTACAGCAAGGGCTCTTACCCACTGGCCCATCTGCCCAATCCCTAGTACCTACCATTTCTTTCATTACTGTACAGAAAGCTGTCAGGCTCATTATCACCATCTCCTTTACCTCCTTCTGTTGGCAAATAACCATAGCCATTTTTCATCCAACACGGCAGAAGAAAGAATCGCAAGTGGCAAAGGACCTATAGGAATAAAGCAAAGAGCACAAATGAACTGTAGGGTCGCTCAGAAAATAAGCCAATAATGCGACTTCAACAACAGGGAATGTGATCTCCCACTACTGATAATCGCTTGGCAGATGGCACAGATGTGACCATTCTAGTTGCTATGGTGATATTTTTGAAAGACCATCACTAGCGCTGGGATCACCTCTGTTCTGATGTGTGTTCCTTGTCACTTGAGAGGCCTTTGTGTAGAATTCACATGAGGCAACCATTATCATGTTGGTACCAATTACATAAAAATACTGGTAAGTACTCAGGAAAGTACTGAGACACAGGTGGGTTATCCTTAGCTTTAACTGCCAAGCACGGACAGAAAATTAAGGGAATATAATTGTGAAAAAAATACTAGTGCTTAAGAAATGGCATACATTAGTCTCCAACATTTAACTGGCATTCACTCAACAGCTTTTTGTACTAAATCTGGCATTTCTTCCCCGAATTTACTCGTATTTCCTATTTTCTCAACGCCCCCCCCCCCTTTTCTATCTTGTTCTAATATTGTTAGCGCTGATTCCTTACAGCCAGAGTGGCTTTTGGGTAAATGAAAGTCAAATTATAACTGTTTTCTCTTTTTAAACTTTCTACAAAAACTTACTGAGCAATAATTCACGTGTAAAATGTTGGTGCCTTAGATCAGGGCTAAGAGACACATGCAGTCACACACGTGGTCTTAAACGTCCCACAACTACAACTGTAAACTTTTTTTAATGAAATGAATTCTAATATAAAATGTATTTAACACTCTGCATGTAAAATGCCATTTCAACAGGTAATTGATATTCAAAAGATGTTTGTAGAATATTTTAAAGGTGTTTTTCATACTAAGTATTTAAAACCAGATGTGCTCTACATTTTATCTTCCACCACCTCCCAGGTTGGAGTAGCTGCCTTTGAAGACTCAGTAGTGGCTAGTGGCTCCCATAAGGAATAGTTCTGATTCAGGTCATTAGAGGATAGCCTTTTTAAAGCAGAGAAAACACGTTCTTTATTAGTAAAATACACTTTGGGTTATTGTGACAAAACAGACATCATCTTTAGGGCTGGAACACAGCTCACTGATGAAGTGCTTGCCTACCAAAGGCAAGCCCTGAGTTCCATCTCCTGTACCACAATAAAGTAAATAAAACAAATACAGCTGACCTTTTTTATCCTGTGTCTTCATTGTTTTTGTTTGTTTGTTGTTTTTTGTGGGGGGGGGTGCTGTTTTTTGGGTTGGTTTGGGTTTTTTTGAGACAGGGTTTCTCTGTGTAGCTTTGGAGCCTGTCCTGGAGCTCCTTCTGTAGACCAGGCTGGCCTCGAACTTACAGAGATCCACTTGCCTCTGCCTCCCAAGTGCTGGGATTAAAGGTGTGCGCCACCACCGCCTGGCCTCTTCATTGTTTTTTTACCTTTGACCAAACTGATGAAAGATTGTCTGAAATGCTTTATTTTTAAACCTGTCTCCTCCTCTTGTTAAATGTCTCAAGAAGGAAACAGGGGCAGAGGGGGTGCCTTTTACAGGGAAAGTGGCAAAATGGTTCTGAGAACAAAGAGCAGTGACTTCTCAAGAAAATCAGTCATTCACAAGTCATGATTTCCCACCCAATTCACTTTATAACTAAATGAACAGAAATATGTTTACCATGATGAATTCTGAGCCCAAACACGATTGGTGTGTGTGTGTGTGTGTGTGTGTGTGTGTGTGTGTGTGTGTGTGTGTGTGTGTGTGTTGGTTTTTTGAAACAGAGTTTCTCTGGTCAGGCCTGGCTGCCCTAGAATTCACTGTATAAGATGGAGAAAATGAGCTGAGCACTAGCATGCGTTTATTCGTCTCTCCCTGCTCTCTGACTGTGACATAACCAGCTACTTCAAGCTCTGGCCACCTTGACTACCCTGTCATGGAGGCTTTCCCTTGGTGCTGTGAGCCACAACTAACCCTTTGTCTCTTATGTGACCTTTCTCAGAGTACTGCATCACAGCTAAAGGAAAAGAAATAAGAAAAGAATCGGTGTTTCCCCCTTGTGAGTTCTGGCTTTTGCAGGACTGGACTGGATACCATGATGATGGGTTATTATAAAGAAAGTCTCCCTATGTCTCCGTGTCTCTGTCTCTCTCTCTCTCCATGCTCTTCTACACCTATCTGCTACCCCACCAGAGGCCCTCCCTAAAGCAGATACTGGCACCATGCTCCTGAATTTTCAGAACTGTGAACTAAATAAACTCTTTATAAATTGTTCTGCCTGGGGCATAGCATAGCTATATGTCATATCAACACAAAAACAAATCAAAGAAACTTACATGGAAGAACAGAGGAGAATACAGTAGTTAGGCCGAATGCATGGACTGACATCCCTGGACTCTTACTAGCCATATGGCGTTAGGATAGTCACTTACATTTTCTATCTAAGTCTCGTCTGTAAATTGTAGACAGTAGTAGTTCCTATTCAAAGTATTATGAGGAATAAAAGAGCTACTACTTACAAATGCCAGGAATGGCCCTGGGCCCTGGTAAGCAATATGTTATTGTTAAAATAATAATATTTTATTAAATATTCAGTGGAGGATGTCAGGAATTTATCACTGTCTGCCAAAAACCTTATCATTCTGAATTTTATTGTTAAACAAACATGAGATGTGATTTTTTATTAGCTCTCTATACACTCTCAAGAGTGGGTTTCAATCTTATCCCACATCTTAAAGTGACAACCATTATTAAAATGATAGAGTTTCCCTCAGAGGAGCAGCAGGGACACCAGAGATCTCATTAAAGCTGTTGTTTTGATTGAAGATCTGTTTCTGAGCGAGCAGAACATTGCCTTCAAGAAAGAGTAAGTGGATTCCAGCAGG